CAGCCGGGGTGGTCCCTTACCTCTCTACCTGTTAACCAGGTTTTCATGTATCTTGCATTGATAGCCCAATAGTACCATTTAAAATAAGGGAGAGAAAATCCCCCTCTTCTTGTGTGGGATTGTACCTTCCTTACTCCCAAACAATGTTGTGATTTGCCCCAAAGATAATCTAAAATGAGGTTGTGAAAATCCCTGAAGGAGTCTTGGATGTGTACAGGGAGGTTGGATAAAATGTAATACAACACCGGTGCGGTCATCATTTTAATTGATTGTATTTTCCCCCATGATGAAAGATACATTTTTGCCCATCTACCAAAATCAATTTTCGAACAAGTGGTTTTATATTTTAGGCACCATGTCTCTATATCGTAGTTTTTGTGCTAGAGGTAGCTTAAAGAGTCCTGGGCTCAAGGTGCACCCTTGTCTTGTAGACCAATGAAACTGGAACAAATCAGATAAGACAAGGCTGGACAATTGATCAAATTTTAATCATGATTTTGATTTTGGACTCTCATGGTCATAAAAACATAATAGAAGAAAAATTATTAATGCACGGCACGGCGTGTATATAAGTTCCTGTGCTGGAAAAACACCTTGAATGCACCAATGTGCAGCTGTAGCAAGCGTGTGTTGTGTGTGGATCAATAATATGAGGAGCGAGCAATTGCAAACATGGCAGAAAGGCAGCCTTTGGTTGATAAGAAAGGTAGGACAACTTTGGTTATCTGGAAACGTTTTGGGTTTAACTTGATGGAAGTCAAGCAAAAGGAAATTGTGTGTAAAGTTTGCTGCGCTGTCGTGTCAGCTCCTCAAGGCAACACGACCAACTTATTCAACAACTTAAAGTTTAGCCATAAAGTTGTCTATGACCAGGTGGTTAAGGAGCAAAAAGTGCAAGCTCAGCCAGCGCAACTGCAACACAGTCCTCTATTAAGGATATTCTTTACAGTGCTGTCCCATATCCCGTCACCTCCTGCAGACATCAAGAGATAATGGAGGCTGTGACATTTATGCTAGCAAAGGACATGTGCCCCATCACTACCACATGCAACCCTGGATTCGAGACACTTGTTAAGACTTTGGATCCAAAATCCACTCCTGTTGCCAGTTAAGCTGAAAAGGGAAAAAACTCAACTGAACTGAAAACTGAAAGTATCCAACACCCCTTCCGCTCTGGCAGCGGGTTCACCAAGTCCATTCATGTGCAGTGGGTCTTCTCATTGGCACGACGAAACAGGGCTGGTGGAACACAATTTATGGGTTGGCTCGTCATCTTGTCTCCATCATGTGGGTACCGTCTCAGTCACACACAGCAAAGTCCAACTTCGAACAAGTTTACATAAGCAACACAACGAAACCTGACCTGCATGACAGGTCATAAAATAAAGTAAATTACTCTGTAAATATATATCAACTCAATAATATATACTATGTGTTTAGCTACTTTTGTTACAATGCTGCTCGTAGCTTCGTGCTAGCATTCCTTCATTTACATGTAAATATCAAAGGCAAAATACATCTTCACCTAAAAGAAGTTAAAACTCACCAAAACCACAGTGGTTCTTAAGGATAAAGTCTTCATAAATCACCAACCATGTAAACTGAGTTTAACGGTTTTAACAATTCAGTTTTCACCGATTTATCCCTCTTCTTCTACTTTTGTACTCTGCTTCGCATTCTGGGCTGAGCTACCCACTGATATATATAAGAAAGGCTAGATGACTCGAGGTGGAGTCACTGATGTCCCTATACGGTGGCCATCTCACTCCAGTATACCATTCTGATACGCTCTATGGTTGCTGATAGAAGGTGAGTAATCAGCATGATCAAAAATACTCTTAACTCACTAAAATCTTGACAGATTTAGAAATGGTTTATTACATACCTTAATAACATGGCTATAAGTCGGGATGCTTGGATATTTTGAAATGGCAGCTTTTATTTGACAAAAAAAAAAAGCCTTAATTGTGCAGCACAGTTGTTTCACAGCTAGGGCAAGGGCTAACTTTGAGTCCCTTTGCATGACAGCAATTGAGATTTTAATTTCTTGTATGACAGCCTATTATGTACTTTTTTTTTGGTCTAAGTGATAGTCTTTGTGGATGTGCTTGTGTTTATCAGCTGTCTAACTTGGCTAACAGACTCACTGTGAGTGAGACCAAGTACGTATTACAAAGCTGACCCAGCAATTTTGTATCAGTAGGAGAGGCAAAAATGCCATTTAGTTTCAACATAACTTAAGTTGCACGATTTCCAAGCTGTTTGGTTTGTTACAAACATCTAAAATGGCAACATGAGGTCGGCCAGGAACATGGAGGGGAGCTTCCAGTGAAGCCTGTAACATCAGGAGGAATTTTACAACTTTCTACACCTCCCCAGAAGTCAGTGTCTATTGGCAGGACAACATGATTTAAAGTACTGTACTTATGTGGAAAAAGTGATGTAAATAGGGGTCAGTCACTTTTCTGCAAGACAAAAGGGGTTTCTATGGTCACATGTAATCATTTTTACTTCTTAAATGTAAATCATATGGCCATAGAATGGTGTATTTTACATATTCTGGATATAAACAGTGTAGAAGAGGCAAAAGGTTCATTTAATTTATTTAACAATTTCTATAAATCAACTTACCATCCACTCCCAGTGCTTCTGCTATGGTGGCCCATGCTCTCTCTTTTCTGATATTATCCTTATAAAAGGATGTGAGGTGTCGTAAATAATGCTGTGGTTTTGGACCTCCAGGATTAGTCTCTCCTCATCCTTGTTGACTTGGGTGTGAAATAACCCCTGAAAAACCTTTGAAGTTGAACCTTGGTCCCTCCCATTATCATGTGAAAACCAGTTTTTACTCTGTAGCCGCATACAACTTCCGCTGCTCATGCTGCGCTGCACTGAATTGATGAGCCGTGCTCCGGCATCTGGCAAAAATAGAAGCCCTGTGTATCTGATCCGGCTGCCGGAGCCGATCCGCAGTGGAGACGGACGCCGGACAGATTCTGTGGATTGACACACATTGATTATAATGCTTGCGGATTTGATCGCCGGCCATGCCGTTCCGGACTCTGTGGGTTTTGCCCTTCAGAGTAAAACATAAACATAGTGATGTGGAAGACCTGAGAGAATCACCAGCACTCAAAATCACGACCAACCCTACATTTTTAATATTTTTAATAAGGCACTCTCCTGATTATTCAGTCGGCTTATTGGAGATACCTATCATTACGTGTACGATCAGCTGCTCATTCTAAAGTTCAAGCACAAACACAAATTAGTCAGGAAGCTATTAGATAAACAAAATCCCTATCTGTTTAATGTTTGGTTCACTTATGGATACTATAGTTGGTCATTTGTCTTTAGAGAATCTCCTCCTGAAGAATTCTGACGTTTCCTCTGGCAAGTTGAAACAATGGCGTGCCCCGTTGTGTTTTATCTCCAGGATGGCAGGGTAGCAGAGTGTAAACTCCACTCCATGCTTTTTAAGGTCAGATTTAACTAGTTTAAAGGAGAACCTCCAGTCCATTACTTGTTTGGAGTAATCTGGGAAAAACATTATTTTGGCTTCTTGCCAGAGGATTTGTCCCTTCTTCCCTGCTGCATGGAGAATCTACTCTTTACTTAGTATCGGAGAATGTTAACCATGACTACTTGTGGTCTGTCTGCTTCTCTCCGGTCCTATCTCAGCAGGCCAGTGGGCACCCTGTGGGCACGCTGAATCTCCAGTGGAGCAACTTTTGAAGCTGCCCTCTCCACTGAGAGACCACGTGATCCCAGCAAACAATCTTAAAAACAACAAACAAGCTTAAAAATGACAAACAAGCAATCAGTACTACAACATGACATGAGATATTACGGGGAACAAATTCACAGAATTTATAATATTGCAGTGAGGCTATTGCAAGAGGATTGCATATATGTATATGTTTGCAGTATTGCACATTGGGTTAGGTAGTATGTCAGGTGTGACGCACTGGTAGGCAATGTAAATGTGAGACCTGAGCCTGGTGTGCCTTGCAAAGATCCTCAATTTTTGGCATACTGTTTGATTAACACAGTCTCAAATTGGATGGTTACAGAAGGTAACCAATGTCCTATGAATAAAGGTCAACACGCCACAATATGGGTCACTCTCTCCGAGGGTTAGCTGTTTCAGGAGACCGAAAATTAACACCTCCGCCCTTTGGGTGCAATCAGAGCGTTCTGTTATCATCCAGGTAAACACTGCATAGTATGGGTCAACAGTGTAGCAAATAAGGTCAGGCAGGAGGTGCAGTGAGGCTGAAAGACACTCCGGACAGCCGTTCACTGATCATAATACACTTTATTGAAGAAATAATAAACAAATAAAGCCATGGGGCACAACAGCCAAAGACCGACATGGTCACCTGCTGCAAAAGAAAATACTGGCCGCCACTTCTGTACCTTTTCTGCGGACAGAGGAAGGCCCACAATAATAAAACCATGGGGTGAACACAAACTCTGAAGCCATGTCTCAGCATGGTAGGGACCACATGCCTCACTGGCCTTGCAGGACAGCAGAGGCTACTGACAAACCAACATTTAGTCTGTATAACCTTGCAAAGCTCCCAGAAGTGGTCGTGCGGCCACCGCACAGACATCCTCCAAGGGCGCTCCCTTTAAGTGCGTTTAAGAGGTGGACATGCCTCTGGTGGAGTGGGCCACCACCACCATGGGCGGAGGGACTCCAGCTCCATCATAGGCCCGAGCTATGGCCTGGACCACCCAGTGGGCTAACCGCTGCTGGGACAGCGCGTGGCCCAGCTTGGTGCCCCTTACAGCAGACGAAAATCTGGTCAGCCTGTCTAATTGGGGTTGTACAGGTGATGAACACCCCAAGGGATGGCACCGGATAGAGCAAATGTAACCAAGCCGCTTCCACCGAGTCATGTGGTGGAGGGTGAAAGGGCCCCATAACCAAGGGTCACATCACGAAAGACCAAGGGAGAACCACAAATAAGAAGGCTGGATTAGGCAGAAGAGAGATGGCAGAGCCCCCCTCCCCCAACCACAAACAGGATGAATGCACGGACAGGGCATGCAGTTCAGAGATCCACTTCGCCAAAGACATGGCAAGAAGAAAAGCCATCTTGAGGGAAAGGGGCTCCAGCCCCAAACTGGACAAAGGCTCAAAAGGAGACTCCGACAGAGCCCGCAACACTAGCTGCAAATCCCATGACGGGACCATGGGGGACTGTGATGGCCTGATATGCCTAGCCACCTTCAAAAACTGGCCAATAAGGGGTTGTGCGCCCAACGTCCTACCCTCAATGGGATATGACGAACAGATATGGCGACCACATAGCCCCTTAAAGTGGACTCAGTCAGCCCTCTCTCTAACAGGGATTGCAAAAACAAGAGGACCCCTGTGCCCCACAAAAGATTGGGCTCCGGCCTCTCTCAGCACACCACTGGCTAAACCACTCCCATCGGCCAGCATAAAGCACTCTGGAAGAGGGAACCCTAGCTGCCTGTAGGGTAGCCATAATGGCAGGACTCAAGCCACAGGGCAGCTCCCATCCAAGAGCCAGGCTTGTAACCTGTAAAGTCCCGGATTCTGGGGCCACTGATGCGCAAGAGCGTCTACCCCCAAAATCCCCACCGGACCTGCTATCGAGTACCACAGCAGGCAATGAGAGGTCTCCTGTGAGGCTAAATGGCTACACCATTTGGGCCTCCTCAAACTGAGCCAAAATGGTGTTCACAATCTGTGGGTGAAGTTGCCGCTTCCCTGGCTGGGGGCCACCCCTGAAAAGGAGATCTGCTGACACATTTGCCACTCCTGGCAAGTAGATGGCTTTCAGGGACACACCCTGAGCATGAGCCTAGAGGAGAATTTTGTGCGTCAAGTCATGCAGGGACCTTGACCGCAGGCCCCCTTGGTGGTTGATGTAAGTGACCATGGTAGAATTGTCAGTGCGGACCAACACAGGCGTCCCTCAAATTACCAGAAGGAAATGCGCCAAGGCCCAATACACTGCCTCCAGCTCGAGCAGGTTGATGCGAGTACTCCTCCAAAGGGGACCCCAACAGCCGTGGGCTGGGTGGTTCTACCATAGGACCCCCCAACCTGCCTCTGAGGCGTCCGTAGTTATGGTCACCCTTGAACACACCGGGCCCAACAGAACACCTTCCCTGAGGCTCAGGGCAGTGGTCCACCATGCCACTGCCAGAAGACAAGTCAAGGACACTGGGATAGCCCTCAGGCCATCCTTGTGGGGGCTCACTCTGTGCCTGGCAAGCCATTGCTGCAGAGGCCGCATGTAAAGCAACCCTAGGGGCACCACCTGGGATGCTGCTGCCATGAGGTCCAACAGCCTTTGGGCACACTTCACTGTAATGTGTTTGCCCACAGTTAATTGTGATAAGCTCTCCAACAGCACCGCTGTTCTCTTCTGTGTCAGGACAGCTCTAAACAAGGCTGAATCCAGAACCAGCCCTAAATATTCCACCCACTGGGATGGAATAAGGCAACTCTTTTCCCTGTCATGGTGTCGAGCTGAACCTGATGTTCGGTTGGGGAGCAAATCAACCAGTTGTCCAGGTAATTCAAGATATGAATCCCCTGGTGACGCACAGGGGCCAGCGCTGCCTCCATGCACTTTGTAAAGGAGTGAGGAGACAAGGACAGGCCGAATGGGGGGACGTTGTACTCGTAGGCTTTGCCTTGAAAGAAAAAACTGAGGTACGTCCTGTGGCCTCTGTGTATGGAAATGTGGAAGTACGCGTCATGCAGGTCCACGGTAGTGAACCAGTCCCCACGCTTTACAGGTGACAGAAGGCATGACAGACGAAGCATATGTAAGGGCAGGCGTTTTAGGAAGCGATTTAACTCCTTCAGGTTCAAGATGGGACACAGGCCGCTGTCCTTCTTTGAAACCAGAGAATAGGTTAAATAAAACCTTTTGCGTGCCTTGCCGCTGGTTACGGGTGTTATTGGCCCTTTCTGTTGAAGAGCCGTGACCTCTGTCATGAGGGACTGACAACCTGTCCTGTCGTTTGAGAAGGTAGGAACAATTCCCAAAAACTGAGGTGGTCTGGTTCTGAACTGGAGTCTGTACCCTGACTCCAGTGTATTTAGCACCCAAGGGCACAGAGTATGCCAGTGAGCAAGGTGCTGAGGAGTTAAGTGTGAGGCCAGAGGCTGACAGCCATCAGCAATGGGCCCGACCACCAGCTGACTGAGGTCTGTCTGTGCCCTCAAGGCGAGCGGTTGCACCGCGGTCGTCACGAAAGGAACGTTGGTGGGCCAGATTGCCCCTTGCTGGAAAATCCTGGGTGGCAAGGGTGGCCCTGGAGGCCGTAGAACTAGCCGGAAAGGACACATGACCCCAGCGCAAGCGTGAGGGTGGCACATCCCTCACAGGGCCCGTCAGCTCCCTCGTCCGATGGGACTGTTTAAAGGCCACCTCACAGGGCAGACCAGAGACCTCTCCAGGCACCACTGGAGCCACCACCACAGCAATGTAGTCCTGGTGGGACAGATTAGACTGCGACAGCCAGACTTTGCGCAGTGCCTGGACCATGGAGGCCATCGACTGACCAAGGGCCCGGGCTTGTGCACTGGTAACCCGCAGTAACATGTCTGCCACATGGAGCATCTCAGCCATCTCATCACTTGGGGCTTCTGAAGCCAAATCCTGCCGCAGGCCTTCTAAATAAAGCAACAACAAGGAATCAGTGCACGCCAACCTGGTTGACAGAGCTGAGGCATGATAAGCTCTGCGGAGCTGGTTATCAGTTGCCCTGCAGCGTCTGTTAGGGTGAGTGGCATCCCTGCCAGCCCTTGCCACAGCAAAGCAAAAGTGGGGCCCCATGAACATCCGCCCCAGTAGGGTTGGCCACCTGGGACCTCGGAAGGGCTGTAGAGCTAGGAGCATTCCATGATGCTTGCAGGGAGCCCATCTGACCTGTGCCGCCATGAGCCCCTGTCGAACACTGAGGTAGCTGTAAGTGGAGCTTCACAGGACAGCTGTGCACATTCTGCTCCCCTTGCAATCACAGCTCTATCAGAAGGGTCCAATTGCTCAGGCACAGAAGCATCCCCAAAGTCAAAGAGTGGCTGATCATCCTCCTTGGACTGGGGGTCGTGCAGACCTTCCAAACTGTCAGAGGCTGCACTAGAGAGCACATCTGGATCCCTATCCCAGATCTGGCCTGCTGGTCATGGTATGCAGCCCTAAAGGATGCTGTGCATGCACCAGCTCCTGAAGGGTAACCTGCATAGACTGCACATGCAGCCGGGCGCTTCCTCTTCTGTGCGCACTGTCTCCCTTCCTCGAGCGGCGGATCACACACCACCTGCAGCTCCAGCTCAGCCAGCAGGGCAAGGGATGGAGAGCAAAAAGCCCCTAAGTCCTTTGACATGGTCTGGCAAGCCAAGACTGCCCAGCGGACGCAAAGTGAAACAAGAATGAAACAAAGCCTCAGGTAGCATGTGACTGACCCGAACCCAGTGGCTCCTCTCAGCACGAAAAACAAAAACACAAGTGTGGCAAAAACAAAAAGGTCAGCGGTCAGCATCTCATCCATTAGCATCGTGTCCCTGGCTGTGGTGTTCGCCCCTTTGTAGTTGTTCAGTAGTGCTGTCAATTAGGTAAAAAAAAAAAGGACATTGATCAGCCCTCTAATTTTTAGGTTTTATTTGTCGTTTGATAACTTTGGTTTCACATCCGATGGAATGGCCTGGCCCAGGGCAGTTATACACTAGAAGAGGTGCCATAAAAGCAAAGGGTGCATGCACATCTGGGCTGCCCTCAGTGGTTAAAAGGATTTTAGGAGTCACAGCAAGTCAGATTGTCTTGATGGTTTATGATAGGTTCCTGATTCACCCCAGGAAATACACCAGACCCTTGCACTGAAGGTCACACAGATCCGTTACACCACAAAAATAGGGAGGACGAGAGACGGACTTCCAGAAAGATTAAAACAATTTCATTTATTTTAACTTTCGTTTTTAAAAGAGCACAAATATGAATAATAATCCTTGGAGTGCAAATAAACACTAAATGCAGTAAATAAACAAAAACTGGAACCAGGAGACTTGGTAGCAAACAGACTAAAGTAAAAAAGAAAAAAATTCAAAACCAAAGAAAACCACTGCAAATCAAGGAAAATCACTACAAACCCAAGAAAATCCTACAAACCAAACCACCACGTCCTTTAGGATGCCCAGCTGGCGACCAACGTAGTGGGCAGAAGTGGAGCCAGGCGCCGAGGAGAGGAGAGCCACAGAGGAGAGCCTCAATCTTTAAGCTTTATGATCAGGCCAAACCAGTCACTGTCTTTTAGATGATGATGACGATGGAGAGCCAACACCACACTGAAAGCACCTCTTGTACATCCACGCCAGCAGCAGACCACACTGTGAATGAAACATCACGGCTGCTGTCACACCAAGATACCCAATTACCTTTATGTCCCACAAATGATCGAACCAACTGACCAGCGGACGGCAACACAGCCCATCGGGTGAACATAGAGGAAAAATGGGTTGAATGGGAGGACAGGACTTATAAAGATCCCACCCCGCAATCAGGCCAGGGACCGCTGAAAATTAGACGCAGCTGATGCCACTTAAGTGGAGGTGCAGCAGCAACCTGCCACATTCCACCCCCACCTTTTGTGTCATCGCCCCGATGACAAGCTACGAGCCAACATACACCAGAACTAGGACTAAGGCCTAAACAGGACAGACTGAACATTGGCCACAGTCCGTGCCGGTTCAAGTACCCCACGTCGCCTGATGTCGATGGGCTGAGGCAGACGGTGAACATTAGGATGTTGACCGGCGGTGGAACGACCAGTTCGACGCAAAGTCGGCTGAGAGGGGCTGGGCTGACCACTAGGGAGAGCAGCCAACCCTCTTGTTCTACACTTGGGCCTGGATTTGGCTGGGCCTGTACTGCAGTCATCCCAGCAGGACCGGCAGAGGGGGGGGGGAGAGCTGGTGCAGCAGTGGCAGCAGGTGCCGAAGTTTCACAGGCCAACAGCCATAACTAGCCATCTTCAGGGGAGTCAGAGAAACCTACAGGCTCTGCCGGAGCAGGTGGAGACAGAGCTCTCGGAGGGTGAGCAACAGAAAAAACCTGGGCTTTCAACAGGTCTCGGTGCACCTGCCGCACCTTATGCAGCTCTGCTACAGGGGCGATGGTGTAAACTGTGCCATCGTCTGTGGGGGCTCTCAGCACCTGGAAGACCACAGAGCTCCATTTGTCGTGGAGCTTGTGTCGATCCCGAACACCAATATCTCGAAGGTAGACCCGCTGGCCGACCTGAAGAGGGGCCTCCCGAACATGCTGATCCTTCTGTCGACCTGCAGTCGCCAACAACCTCTCACGAGCATTCTTAAATGCCACCTTGAGCCTGGCCTGATGCTCAGTCAACCAGTCCTGTACTCCCCCTGGCTCAGGGTCCCAAACCCGGCCCAAGAGAAAATCCACAGGGAGCCTGGGCTCCCGACCAAACATAAGAAAGAAAGGAGATTCCCCCATGCCCTGATGCGGCATTGTGTTGTAACAAAACAAAACCTAAGGGAGACAAGAAACCCAATCCCGTTTCCAGGGTATTTGCAATGTCCGCAGTAGGTCATGGAGGGTTCTATTGAATCACTCACACTGCCCATTGCTGGCCGGGTGGTAAGGAATGGTCCGGGATTTTTCCACCTCCTACAGGCAACAGAGCTGTGAATCAAGGAGCTCTCAAAACTCCGACCTTGGTCAGAATGTATACGACTTGGCACACCAAACCGGAAAAACCATTCAGTCAGCATAACCCAAACCACAGTGGCTGCCTGCTGATCCCGGGTAGGGACTGCCACCATGTACTTACTGAACACATCAGTCATTACCAATACGTTCTCCAACCCGTTATGAGAGGGCTCCATGAACGTGAAATCAATGGCGACAATCTCATTCAGACGAGACGCCAGCAAACGGCCCATGAAACTGCGGGGCACGGATCCTGAGTCTTTTGCAACCTAGCAACGTTCAAATGCCTGGACCCATCTTTTGATGTCGGCAGACATCCCAGGCCAGTAACAGCGCTGCCGCACTAGCTCAGTGGTGCGCTTGATGCCCTGGTGTCCATGATCCTGGTGCAACTGGGTCAGGACCTCCTCTTTCAGGACAGCAGGTAAGACAAGCTGGAGGTACTCCTCTCCCCCGCACGAACGGACAGTCCGGTGGTACAACACACCCTCCTGCTCGACCAAACGGTCCCACTGTTTCAGCAGCGTCAACGCAGAAGTGGGAAGCTGTTGCCTGTCCTTGTAAGTAGGTTTAGCATGCCTCCTCCAAAAGGGCAGGAAATAGTCATGCAGAAGGGGATCGGCCTCCTGCAAGGAGCGGAGGTCTGAGGGAGAATGTCCCTGAAGAACAGGCACCAGTGACTGGACTGCAGGCACCTCTGGGACTGGGCCTGATGCTTACTGAACAAGCAGTGGGACCAAAGTGCTAGGTAGCACACATTCAGCCAGGCTGGACCCTGACAAATACTGCCGGGAGAGAGCATCGGCATTCTTATTGCTGTGCCCGGAATGGTACCTGATTTCAAAATCAAAAGCAGCTAGCTGGGATGCCCACCGCTGCTCTGTGGCCCCTAACTTGGCAGAGTTAAGGTAACTCAACGGGTTTTTGTCTGTGACGACTACACATTTGTGCCCTAACAGATACTGCCGAAACTTCTCTCCCATTGCCCACTTAAGTGCAAGAAACTCCAGCTTGATTGAACTGTAGTTGTCCATATTGCGCTCCGTGGGTCGAAGGCCTCTGCTGGCATATGCCACCATCATCGGTCTCCTGCGAAAGGACAGCCCCCAGACCACTGTGACTTGCATCCACCTCCAAGATGAATGGGTGTGAAAAGTCTGCATAGGCCAATACTGGGGCCGAAACCAACTTAGGCCTCAAAGCTTTGCTTGCACTGGGGTGTCCATGCTGAACTCAGCTCCCGCCCAGAGCCTTGCTTGGACCGTGAACTTGCGAGTTCTGCCACTAGCTTATGTAGGGGACCCGCCAGCCTAGCAAACCCCTCAACAAACCGCCTATAATAGCTGGCCGAACGGCAAACGGTTCCACTCAAACAGACCAAAGGGTGTACAAAAGGCCATTTTGGGCTTGTCCCGCTCTGCAACAGGGACCTGGTTATACCTGTTCGCCAAGTCGAGGGTGGTGAACCAGCGAGCTCCAGCAAGGGTGTCAAGGCTTTCCTCAATCCAGGGTGGAGGGAACGCGTCCTTTCGCGTCTTGCTATTAGGCAGGCGGTAGTCAACACACATCCGGAGGCTACCATCCTTTTTGTGAACCAAAACAATGGGGGAAGCAAAGGGGCTATTGCTTTCTGAAAATCACCTTGGCGTCAAGCAACTGATCAATGTGTGCCTTCACCTCCTCGTACTCAGAGGGAGGAATCCGTCAGTACCGCTGTCTTATCGGGGTGTCATCAAGCATGGGGATCTCGTGAGAAATAAGGTTAGTACAACCCAAGTCACCTTCATGTGTGGAGAACACAGAGCGATACCTCTGAAACAGAGCACGCACCTCCATCTGCTCTTGCTCTGCTAAAGCGGACAGATCCACGGACTCTACCCCGCTCTGTGCCACACCAGCAACTCCCTGGGAAGACACTGAGGCTGTAGTGGACTTTACCTCGATTACCCCAGCAGGCAGGCTGACCACCTGGGCACTACTTAAAGCGCCAAGCCCAGTACGTGGGTGGAGGGGAACATCAGCTGTCCCCACGTTAACCACTGGAACGTAGGCTGTACCTCAGGAAACCTGAACCAGGCATGAAGAAGCCAGCAGCCCTGCTGGTAAGCCAGACTCTGTTGGTTCAAACAGCACGACCTGGCCAGCCAGCTGCTCCGGACAGGTGGTTGCCACCAATTTCATCAATCCACCAGGTATTGCCTGTTGGCCCTGAA